TCGGGAAATCTTGCTACAACGTAGGCAATGTCTCGTCGTTGTGTTCAAATCGAATTGTCAATCGAAGAAGAGAAATTCTCCAAATGTTGTAATGTTGCGAACAACAACAACAACAACAACAACAACAAACAGTTGCGTGTTTTTTGTTTGTTTTAGTTGGGCGAGAAAGGCTCTGGCTTCAGAGGTCGAGGAGCGGTGCAAGATTTTAGCAAACTGAAGCACGAATGTTTGGCCACCGGCACGCTTTTCGAGGATCCGGAATTCCCAGCCGACGATTCGTCGTTGTATTTCTCGAGAAGGCCCGACAGATACATCGAATGGAAACGACCGATGGTACGACCGTTCGGTTTCGCTTTCTACTTTCTACGGTCCTCGATTTCCTTTATAATTTTTAACGTACGCGCGTGTCAATTCTCCTTCAAAGAAAAGCTGACAAAGCTTTATCGCTCGTCGCGAGTAATTCACTCGTTTCTTCTGACTGACGATGTGAAAGATTCGACCACCGATCAAAGGAACAGAGAGAGATTCTAAGAGAGATTCTTCGTGCTTTAGGATTCAGACGGATTCCATTTTGGACGGAAATATCTCTCGTCGAGAGACGCAGAGAGTTCGTCTCGTAGCTTTGACTTTTACATGCATGGAAATAGTTTGTTGTTTCCAAGTAGCTGTAATTCCACGAAATGTCAAGCGTTAAAAGAAGCCCAAAGGACGAAGAATCGAAAAATTTCGAAGATCGTTGACCAGCAGTAACGACGTGTAAATTTCGTGTGCAATTTCATCCATCGATTCAAACAGATAGAAGATAGTCACGGTGATGGATTATTGGCAGGAAATCGCCGACAACCCTCAACTGTTCGTCGAGGGTTTTTCCAGATTCGACGTTCAACAAGGGGAATTGGGGGATTGCTGGTTGCTGGCAGCAGTGGCGAACCTGACTATGGATAGCAACTTGTTCTTCCAAGTAGTTCCGGAGGACCAGAGTTTCGAGGAGAACTACGCTGGTATATTTCACTTCAGGTATGCTGATATGAACCGCCACGATCATCGGCGTTGCCGATTCGAGTAGACTCGAACGTT